TTTTTGGTAATAGTTTGAAAAATAACACCTATTTGTGTGAAAGTTAACACATAAATTAATGTTTGGGTTTTTTAGTCTAGGAGATGCCTAACCAGCAGTTGATAATGTTTGGTCTTTAGTAGAGATGGAAACTAAGCTAAATTTGTCCTCTGTTCCTCTTTCTGGTCCTCTGCCATCTCTTTATTTTCTAGTCATTTGTTTATTCATTCATCCATCCATGAAAGCATGACTTTCAAAGAGTTAAAATCATGACTCATATATAGTATAAACATGTGTCACAGATCTCTTGACTTATTACTATATGAGCCAACAAAATAACAAACCTGGTTTGAAAAGCGTTTGAGGAAATTAGTTTATACAGGCATTGAAGAAGGAAAAAAAGTAAATATTAGAATAGTTTGCTGTGTTATTAGGTGCTGTTGAATCCATTTTAGACTCAGAGTGACCCTGTGATGGGATAGAAATATCTAGATTGCTAGATAGACATAAAACTGGTTAATGTCCTACAGAGTAATAAACTCATTTAACCTGTGGTGCTATTTACCCCCTCCCCTGCCAGAAAAAAACCCTACAAGTTAACATGTAACTGCACAGCAATCAAATGGTAAATAGCAAAATCAAACATAGATATATTCTACCAGAGAGTCAGGTAATCGTTAGGGAGCTAACAGTGCCTCAGATTGACATTAAAAAGAGTCTGCTATACTTTCTTTTGCCTTATTTCCAAGTACTGATTGATTTTTATTAACATGTCCACCCACTTATTTATTCCTTAAATCTTTTTACTGATACCTATGTGCCCTAGGGACCTTAAGATAAAAACACAGTTTATATCTTAAAGTATTCATGGCCTAATGAGAGAGACAAACACAAAAAATAAAAATGGCCAAACAAATGGATAACATGTATCCCACTCCACCCAGGTGTCCCAGAAACCCAGAGTGGTGAGGCCCATCCAGTCAGTACCCTATGTGTAAAAACTCTAGTTCTATATCATTTCAACCTGTTTACCTTTTCTACCACTCCTGTATTAAAATACACCTCTTGGGTAGTCTGGATAAATGACAAGTGGGTAAATTGGAAAATCAGTCTTCTCTTAGATAATATATAGAAACCAATTTTAATACAAAAGGCCTTCAATATCTCAACTCAAGGAAGTGTGTTACATGGCAACCTCAGAATAATAGCTTAAGTGGGACAGGCACAAAGAAGTCTTTCCTTTCACTCTTAAAATCGTCATATATGGATGGCACATAATTACTAATTAAACAATGTTTTAGTCACTCCCTTGAAGTTATATTTCTGAATTAAAGACACAGGGAAGTTCCTTCCAAAATTTTCCTTTACAATACTAGAATTTAGTTATAATAAAGTAAACTTTTCTGGGAGGGAGTTGTGTAAGGTCTTAAGACACCTACAGTGTTTCCCCTCTACCTTAGATTAGGGTTCTCTCTCACATAGCTTGGTGATTTCAGTCCCAGCTGCGTTATTCTTTTCAAGAGCTGCGTTTTCCCTTATCACCATGGTCACCAGTGTTTCAGCTTCCTGAGAATACAACAGTGATTTTCTGTCTCTGTTTGATTCTCCTAACAGATCACATTAAAGGAGGAGGAATCATTTATTTCAGTTCTTTGTCCTTATGGATTCAATACCATAAATATTTAATGAGCAATTATTAATGTAAAAAACCTCAGTGGAAGCTGTGGAATGTGCAGGAAATAACAGCATCCCCCCAGGAAACCAAGATCTAATGGAGAAGACAGAAACATGCAAGTCATTCCAGAACCATGATTCTTTTCTTTGGCTCCAGGTTAGGATCAAGTCGGGGCTTTGAAACATCCTGATGCCAGGCTGCACTCCACACCAAGTAAGGCTGCATCCCTGGGGGTGGGATGCAAGCACGAGTATTTTTAAAGTTCTCTGGGAGATTCCACTATGTTGCTGAGCTTGAGAACTGTTACTCTGAAGTAAAACAAACTTGGAAAACGCTACAGCTAAAGACTAATGAGGAAGGATATTATAGCCATTCTGGATATGCTAATATTCTTGTGTGCCACTGTCTGACATTTTAACCCTGGAGTGCAAAAAAGAAAAACTCTCATGGACTTTTGGGGGAAATTTAGGTCAGTCTGGTTGTCGCATTTAGACGTTATATACCTTAACAAGTCTGGAGTCTCAAGGTGACTGTGTTTAAGAGGAGAAGGGCCCAAATATCCAGTCAGAGAAATGAACCTAAAATGTATTCCACATGTAATCTCTTCATTCTTCATGCTCACTCCCCTGGAACGCTTTCTTAACTCCCTCTTGTCTTTCTGGAGAACACCTAGTTATTTTCTAATTTCCTAGCTCAAACTTCACTTCCTTTGTAAAGCCTTGCTTTCCCTTCTGATGCAAAAGCGAGTCCTTGTTTTTCCTGTGTGACTTCGCTCCTTATATACCTGTCTGGGTTTAACACTTATTTATAACAATTATAACAGTTTAGTTATACATTTACCATTACTTATGAGCCTTACGTATCTTTGTTTGTACCTACCACAGTTTCTAGATTTGTTGCATGAGTAAACAGCTGCAGAAGTTTTGGGCAGAGTCAGAAAAGTCATACCATCACGAAGGGAACTGGCCGTGGAGACCCCTTGGGTTCCCCTGTCATGTTCCTGGGCGCTGCTCTCTGCTTCCCAGCAATGCTGCTGGAGCGGTGGGCAGATGCACTCAGTGGTGTGAAGCAGCTGGAGGAAATGATGAAAGGAGGCCTCACAGGGTTTAGTTGCAGAAGAGCTAGAGTTCTATTTGTATTTTGCTATGAAGAGAATGCAGAAACAGAAGCAAGTTCTAAACAGAAAAGTTTTAAAGTATATATTTTGACTAAAAAAGCACCAGTGCCACCAACAGTTATTTAAGCCATAGGCAACCAAAAAAGTTAAAACAGCTATTTCTGCTAGGGGAAACTGCCTATTTGTTTTGTTTTTCAAACATTAAATCCCAAGATATTTTTCCTTCATGGAATTTAGTTGGTTTTGCACATATAAGAGTGAAAAGTTAATTTCAGTTTTATAAGTATGACAGTTATGCTTTCCAGATTTTCTAGGATGGTGCTAATTTTAGATCTTGCATCCTATTTTTTTTTTTACTATATCTTGATTTCTTCGTTGGAAAATATGTTTACTATTTTCGCAATTAACTATACATTGGCCAGCCATGCTTAAAGGCCTTTTAGTGGTTAAAATGTATAATTATCTTACCGTTGTTGTTTTTTTTTATATAGTTATGTAGCATAGCACTATTTTCTGATCAAAAACTTGAAGGTAGCATATGGAGTTCACATTTAGTATATTGCTTTGAGCTGCAGATTTCTGTTGAATTTGGTTTCTCTTGTGGGCCATATATGTTGCTAACCCTTGTTTCTCTAACAAGAAAATTAGTATAAAAATCCTTTAGGGGAAAATAGATCTTTAAAAACTGTTCTTTACAACTTTAAAACTCACTTTTAAAACTTCAGAAATGGGTATTTGTGAGGCCAAAGAAGCCCACTAAGAGGCCACAGAGGCCCACTAAGAGGAGAGTAGGCCCTTTTAGAACCTGTTGTGAGGGGATATTGCTTGTGCCATAAGCCAGATGGAATCTAAACAGTGTAATGACTATTAAAAGCCTGTAACCCAGTGTTTACTGTAAACAGCTATTTTAGTGGATAAAGTTTTGAAAATATCTACGTGTCTCCTCTCTTGTCTTTTTTTAAAGTTTTTTTTTAATGAATTTTAATGAACGTTTACAGAGATTTTGGATTTCCATACATTCAGTGCTGTATTTTTCTCCCTGCCCACCCCTCCCCTCAGTTCGCACTTCTCTTTGAAAAGTAAAAGAAAAATTATTTAATTGGCATACAACCCCCCTCTTGTCTTAATAGCCATAATTAATATGCTCTCTCTCTTTCTGTTTAATTGATCAGCTTAAACCTCAATAAATAGATTGTGACCAAAATCACCTCAACTTTAACTGAATATCCCAGTATAAGATCTTTTTACTTTTTAATAAGTGTTAAGTTTATTATCACTTAATAAACATAAAAAAGGAGAAAATAAAGGCTAGATTGTATAGTAATTTTTTCAAATCTAAAGTTCAAATCATAAGTTGAGTACTGTTCAGTTATATTTCATTGCTTTTAATCATCTGATGGGCATAAGTCTCTAATAATCTAGTTATTATTGGTTACCTAGCATTCTTTATTGGACATCATGTAGATTTTCCCCGCAATATGTTATTTTATCAAGCAATAACAACAGAACAACATCAAGATAGATGTTATTGATAAATGGCCAGGGTATTAGTATGTCATCTTTTGGAAGGAGAAAGCCATTTTCAGATAGCATTAAATTAGGAGCTACTTCTGGCTCATCTAATAGTGTGATAATTACTTCATGCACTTAATGCTTCTGTGATGCAATCCTGCAATAAAAAAGGGACAGGGTGCTTCCCAGTATCTAGCCAGTCTAGTCACAGACCCCTGTGCACCATTTCCATAGCTGACATCTGTGTGTTTCCATCTGTCCAAGTTTTCCTCTCTTGCAGCCTCATTACTTCAGTGTTATGACATTCAGGAACTTCTCACATACTTGACCAGAATTCCAACAGCTCTTTAATTGGAGGTGATACCCTTACCATGAGCCAGATTTGAACTCTCTAAGCCTTTGTAATCCCCAATGAGTCAAGGTTTGTTATGAGTTCTGTCAAATTTGACGAGGAGTTCTGAAAAGGTGAGTGAGGCCAGAGAGCATCTGAATTTGGAACAGCTAAGACAATTCTTAAAAGAGAACTAGGGTCCAGGTCATTTGTTTTTATTTTTGTTTTTGCATAGAGGTCATAAGATACGGTCATGTTTTCCTGCCAGTGCACAAATCCTACTTGTAGACAAATGATAACAAAGTCAGTATCAATAGTATAGCCTTAGGAATCAACCTATATGACATTATTTTAACAGGAGGCCTCATTCTTCTTTTCTTATCCAGAGCTAAGAGAAAAAAAGTGAATATGGTTTTTGCTCACAGAATGGATAACAGCAAGCTACCTTTGATTATTCCTACACTTCTGGTGCCCCTCCAAAACCACAGCTGCACTGAAACAGCCACACTGCTGCCAAGCCATGACCTGGTGGAACTCTATGAGCACAGTTGGAAAAGCAACAGAACAGATCTGCAGTACGGACTGACGCCCGGGAAAGTAGCCACAGCCAGCGTTTTCTTTGGGACCCTGTGGTTGTTTTCTATTTTTGGCAATTTTTTGGTTTGTTTGGTCATCCATAGGAGCAGAAGGACTCAATCCACTACCAACTACTTTGTGGTCTCCATGGCATGTGCCGATCTTCTCATCAGCATTGCCAGCACGCCTTTCATCCTGTTTCAGTTCACTGCTGGAAAGTGGACACTGGGGAATGCAATGTGTAAGATTGTGCGATACTTCCAGTACCTCACCCCAGGTGTCCAGATTTATGTCCTTCTCTCCATCTGCATAGACCGGTTCTACACCATTGTCTATCCCCTGAGCTTCAAGGTATCCAGAGAGAAAGCCAAGAAGATGATTGCTGCATCGTGGATCTTTGATGCAATCTTTGTGACCCCAGTGTTCTTCTTCTTTGGCTCCAACTGGGACAATCATTGTAATTATTTCCTCCCTTCCTCTTGGGAAGGAACTGCCTATAGCGTCATCCACTTCTTGGTGGGCTTTGTGATTCCATCTGTCCTCATAATCTTATTTTACCAGAAGGTCATAAAGTATATTTGGAGAATAGGCACTGATGGCAGAACAGTGAGGAGGACAATGAACATTGTCCCGAGGACAAAAGTGAAAACCATCAAGATGTTTCTCATTTTAAACCTATTGTTTTTGCTCTCCTGGCTGCCTTTTCATGTAGCTCAGCTGTGGCACCCCCACGAGCAGGACTATAGAAAAAGTTCCCTTGTTTTCACAGCTATCACTTGGATATCCTTTAGTTCTTCAGCCTCTAAACCAACACTGTATTCAATTTATAATGCTAATTTTAGGAGAGGGATGAAAGAAACTTTTTGCATGTCCTCAATGAAATGTTACCGAAGCAATGCCTATACAATCACAACCAGTTCAAGGATGGCCAAAAAAAACTACGTTGGCATTTCAGAAATCCCTCCCACGGCCAGAACTATAACCAAAGACTCAATCTATGATTCATTTGACAGAGAAGCCAAGGAAAAAAAGCTTGCTTGGCCCATTAACTCAAATCCACCCAATACTTTTGTCTAATTTCTCAGAATCCTTTCAACTATTGTTATGCGTCAGTTATTAAAAAGCTTTAACTATAAAAACAGAAGCTATTTACCATTTTTCCCCACTCAACTTTCTGAGAAAAATGTGTTATTTTGTAAAATCAATTTGGTGATCATAATCTTTTGTGGTTTTTTTCTTTTCATTGCTTGTTTTAGGGGAAGCTATTTTAAACGACAACAGTCCATTTAATATATTAGCTGCATGGATTAAAAAGAAAATGCTTTTCTCCTTTTTATTTACCATTAGGTCCAAATAGCATAAACCGTACACACACACACAGCCTTTGATTAATGATTTAACCTAAATGAATAAATGGCTGTTTTCTTTTCCTCTCCTGATTGGATTTTTGTTAACTATGGTCTTCTGTTAAAAATGAAACTTCCTGCCTCTGTGTCATACTTTCAGAGAGTGGTATTTTTTCTACTAAGGAAAACTTAGAAAAGGTTAATATTTGACATGGTTTTTATACCCCTTTCTCCTACATAATCAGGATCTAGGTCTGCCATGGAGAATACTCCATATATTACAGTCTTCTGGGCAGATTTGAGTCAGGGTTCGTAGAGAAAGAAAACCTACAGTGTTGCCATGTTGCCTTATCTCTCTCACTTTCTAGTTTTCATCCTTTCTTGACCTAAGCAGCTGGTGAGGCCATGAAAATCATGAGGTCATTGTGAGGTTGCCCTCACATCTGTGTCCCATCTAGGCTGTGTCTTGGATGTTTACTTTCCTTCTTTGAGTTAAATATAAGCACTTGAGCAGGTGCTCTTTCTAGGCGTGCCCAGAATATGCCACAAAGAAAAGTGGCAGATGGCATTTCTTTATGCTCTTCAATTTAGGCATAGACTTTTGGCTATCTGGCCCATCGCTGGACATCAGGATAGCAAGCATAAAGACCAGCTTCCTCTGTCACCCACACACTCTGATGTGAATCCCATTTCTCTAGCCAAACCCTCTCTCCCTTCACTTCTCACTGGGTTCCATTCCATACCCTAGCCAAACTCCAACTCTTCCTTGCCTCTCTCTGGTTCCCAGGTCTTTATAGTTCACATGAAGAACTAGCACATTAAAGGTTTTATTTCAATAATAAAGGGCTTACAGGCAAAATGGAAATACTTTTCTGCATCCCAGTGAGCTCTGGTGATGTAGTCTTAGAGAGCTTCATTGCTAACCCAAAGACCACACAGCCCTGTGGAAGAAAGATGGACAGTTTCCTCCCATGTGATTTATAGCCTATGAAACCCAATGGAGGGTAAGCTATGAGTTGGTTTCAACTTGATAACAATGAATTTGAGTTTTTTGAGTTAACAAGATCTGCAAATAATAACTGCAGTTAAGCAATTATAATTGTGCTTTTTCATTTTATCCTCTCATCATGTCTGTGATATATTCATTATCAACACTGTTTATTTGTATTTTTAGATAAGGAACTAGGCTCAAAAGTTATGTGATGTTCCCAAGGTTATTGTATTTGCAGTGTGACAAAGTCTGTATTAAACCTATTGCTCTTTCCCTGAAGTGACAGATGTCTCTCTAGAGACTACATAAGTTGCCTAACCTTGTTAAGTCATCTAAGCCTTGTTGGGCCTCCTGGCTGCTGCCTTGGTAGAAATCTGAGGTCTAAGAATCTGGCTGTTCCTAAAAGGAAAGTCTAGATGGCATTTAGTGAGCTAGCTCTCACCTTTTTTGTTGTTGTGGATGAGTTTCTAGACTTGAATTTGACTATCTGAGCTACAGAAAGAGGCCCACATACCTCACAAAGAGAAACAAAACCATACTGAGTTTTGTAATTGGCCAAGAAACAACAACAAAACAGTTCATTTGAAAAACAAAAATCACAGAGCAGATATTTTTAAGTTGATTTGCTTGCATAAATCAGCAAATTCAAAACATAATAGACTATCTTATATTTATTTTTCTTATTCCACTTCCTGAAATTCTTATTCCATCAGGCATTGCCACTGTAAAATTACAAAATAAGCTAGATATCTGTATTACTTGTCCTTGAATTTTATAATTTAGACTTATTAAAGAGTACAAAAAGACCCCTGCTCTCGATTTCTGTCCTTTGAAAGAGAATATTACTTTTTAAAGATAAATTGTGAATAAATGTCTCTATTAATTTAAGTTCTTCCAGCCTTGATTTAAACTTCACAGTTAGGCAAGGTCCAAGTTTTGTTCTGTCTTTAACGTTCTGTGGGTAGGTGCTGTGGAGTCAGACTCATAGATCCTGTGTAAACAGAACACAGCACCGGACCCAGAGACAGCCTCACAGTTAACTCTTGGGCCAGAGCCCATTGTTGCAGCCGTGTGCCAGTTCCCTTCATTTAGGATCTCTCTCTTCACAGACAACAGGTCTGTATAAAAAGTCTTTTAGTAAAAGACTACCAAATACGTTGTCCTGCCGGTCCTCACCCCTCCAGATAACATACCCAAAGTATGTGAGACGTCTCACTGTGTTCCCTTCTTAGGAGAATTCTGGCTGTTCTTCTTCCAAGACAGATTTGTTCATTTTTCTGGCAGTATATTTGATATTCCTCACTGAAACCATAATTACAGACATCAGTTTTTCTTTGGCCTTTTTGTTGCCCACATTTCCCTATGCACTGAAGAGGTTGCAAACACTGTCATTTGGGTCAGGTGCTACTTGGTCCTTAAAATGACATTTTTGCTTTTTAATACTTTAAGGGAGTCTTTAGCCACAGACTAGGGCAATCCATGCTTTGATTTCTTGACTGGTGCTCCCCTCAGTGTTGGTTTTGGATATAAGTAAAATGAAATCATTGACAACAACCTTTTCTCTATAATGATGTTGCTCTTTGGTCCAGTTGTGTGCAGGTTTGTTTTCTTTATGTGGTCTATAGAACAGATAATGCTCACCTGCATTTTTGGCTGCTTGAATTTCGTGGGAAACTCTTGCCCCACTTTTAATGCATGCTGCCTTCTGGTGGGACCTGTATAACTGCGTTAATCTGAAGACATGGGCCCCTGGCCATATCCCCAGCACTAGAAACCCCTCAGAATATATATTTTCACTAACTGTGTCAAACTCCATATTGCCTCAAAACAAAAAAAATTTCCATCTCATTTAAAACTACTTCCATTACTGAAGGGAGTTCTGATGGTCTGGTGGGTAAGGAGACCAGTTAATGACAGGTGGTTCAAATCCACCAGATGCTCTGAGGGAGAAAGGTGCAGACACCTCCTGTGTGATTTATTTTACAATGTCGGAAAACCTACTATAGGTTCAGCTGTGAGTCTGTTCTAATTCAATGCCAATGAGTTGTTCTGGGTGTAGGTTTTTTGGTGAGGCTTTTTCCTCCCCCTTTCCATTACTAAAGCTACATGGTTTCAGTAATAAATGCAAAGCAGGAAATAATTGGTCTTGTAAAGGTTAAAGTGACATTCCTAATGAAGGCTGCAGTCTTTGATCTTCATTATTAAATCGTTTTAGTCCTCTTCTTGAGCAAGGTTTTGTCATTTTCTACTACAAGCTGTTAATGAGACTTCCTCTGATCCTGATGCCTTCTTCCTATTGTACAGCTTCTCAAATTCTTTGTCCAGTATACAGATTTACAGTATCCCCTTGTTCAGTTTGAATGACTGTAGGTCAATGTACATGTTCTGCATGAGCACAATTACTTGTTCTGAATTTTCCCATTCTTCACAATGTTTTCTATAGCTCTGCACATTTTAGGATGCACCCTAGTAGGTGGAGATTTAGCGAGATAACCTTACAGAACTCTTTAGAATTTTATATATATTTTTTTAAAATTTATTTTGAACAAATTAATTACATATTTTTTTAAATTTTATTTTATTATTTTTTGTGTGTGTACCTTCAAATCAGATCTGACTAGTAAAGAAGAAGATTGTACCTCCTTCTCCAGCAGAGAATCTGGTAGATTCAAACCACGTACCTCTGGGATTGCAGCGCAGCTTCTTGCCACTAGGCCACCAAAGTGCTCTTAGAATTTTATATTTTTTAAAATGCCCTAAATAAATTTTATCAGCTCACAGCTGAGAGAGGCTCAGTCTCATGACTTATATTAAGTTAGATATCTTCCCTCATATTGTTAGGAATGTTATTCCATTTTTGGTTTGTTTCTCGTTTGTTTATTTTGTATTCAAGATTTTGTCATCTCACTTGATTTTAAAATTAGAGAAAGCCAACTTCATACATATGATAGATAAACCAAGGTATACAGAATGCACACTGATGGAGATTCACATAAATCCCAGCATCACAAGCACTGCATTTACCACATTTCTCATTTGCCCAGCAAGAAGCAGGATTAAGTTGAGGCAGGCAGGATGTTAAGAGAGAATAAGAGAAATTATGATGTGGTGTGCTGTGAATTCTGACCTAAGTAGCATCCAAAACGGAGTTCAAGATAGGTGACAGCGAGGAGCAGAGCTGGGCAGAGGCAATTTCCTGCCTGGTTCTAGGTTTCCACATCTCCAGGGTAAAAAGGGCAGAGGTTCATCCTTAAAAGTGGAATTGTATCCCCTTGTAATCTTCATTGTCAGCAATAGACAAGCTGTTCAGATTCGCTTCCTTGTGAATCTACCACATATTTCTCCAGGATGAGGAGGACCATCCCTGGAGCTAACCTTTGATGCAGTTTTACCCAGGTTAACCTCTGTGGGGCTTGTTGTCGGTAGAGTCATTTGCCAGATAAGGTTGGCGGTTCTACCTCTCCTAGTGGGAAGAGTAGCACAGCTCCTCTCTTAACTCTCTGGGCTTGATGCAAATTGCTCACCTCTCTCTGAAGTAATAGAATCAAGATCTATTTGAGCTGCATGGCCAGTATGCTTCTGTGCAAGATTCACACATGAAAGCAAAGAATCAAACTTTCAGAGCAGAAAAGGACACTAGCGTTGTAGTCTAAACCATCACAGTGTAGAAGAGGATACTAAGATCTAAAAAAGTAAAAGTTTTAGTAATAAAGTAGAATGCCTCTTCTTCACTCTGTTGTCTTTTTGAACTTACCCTTCTAGAGGATGAATTTATTTGAGGGACAAACTCACACTTGAATAGGGAACATGAATAGCATGCTTTCCTACCACTTAACGTGCTAATTCATTTGGAAAAGATAAATTTAGGGTACCATCATTAGACAAGTGGAAACAGCTGGCTTTCTCTAACACTGTTGCAGAATGATTACCTGACGTCCCTGTGGCTAGTGGGCTGAGCCCACCACCTCATCATGATGCGAGACACAGTGGCAATTTCAGAGAAGAACTCGTCTCATAGCAACAGAGGACATTGCTGAGCA